CTTGCGTAAACCCAGTTACTAAACTGAGCAGATATACTAGCAACCTAAGTAAGGATCATTGGACAGCTATTGTAAGGGTTTTGAGATATCTAAAACATACTCAAAACTATAGGCAATGTTATTCGAAATATCCTTCAGTACTTAAAGAATACTCTGATTCTGATTGGATTTCGAATTGAAATGACTCATTTTCTACGAGTGGATATATGTTCATTATCGGATGAGGTATTGTGTCATGGAAATCGACTAAGCAGACATGTATAGTCCGATCTTCTATGGAATCTGAGTTTATCATCTTAGACAAGGTAGGAGAGGAAACATAATGGCTTCAACAACTATTACGGGAGATTCAAAATTGAAAGAAACTTGTACCCACAGTAATGATACATATGACAACCTTGTGGCTATTGTAAGGGCACCGAATGTGATGTACAACGGTAAGTCATGAAACATACATAATCGACACAATACCGTGCGAAAATTGATATCACGAGGGGTAATCTCGTTAGACTACGTGAAGTCTAAGGATAAGGATAATATAGCGGATTCACTAACCAAAGATTTAAACTGTGATCAATTTCTGAAGTTGCTCGAAAGAATGAGTTTGAAAAACCACAGTTAATAACGAATGTAGTGGACACCCAACCATGATGAGTGAAGATCCCAGAGAAGTTTATGTTGCAACACTTGAAAGATGCATCTTCCACTATTCCTTGCAAAAAAAGAAGTGAGCAACGAGTGTTGACTTTTCTGTTGGAGATGAAGGTTAAACGTTGAGTTTTTAATGAGTCCCCACCGATCATAGGTAGATTACGGAATGATACTCTTGGGAGGTTACCTATGCAAGTGTGAAATGGGGGCCGGCGTAACCTGAAGCACTTGTGAAGCCAAAGGTGTTTTTCATAGCCCGAAATGGAAACTTTATATTTTGTTCTACATATATATCAAACTTGATTATTAGTTATGGATTGAAAATAATTGATGATGCATGTCATTTATTGGATTGGTTCACCTTCTAAAATTCAGAAATTTGAAACTACTCACTAATTGCATATTACTTGTATTGAAATATTAGTTTTGGTTGCAAACCTCGTTGAAAACCTAGTTGATGTTGGAGACAACTATAATATACAGATATAAGTTCCTACAAGTTAATAAAGTACCATTTAGATTCCATAAATAAACACATTGTAATAATTGTAAATGCAGATTCAGTATCTAAATATAAGTTTTATCATTTTTTTATTTTTTATTCCCACAATTTAATTTTTTTCATATTTCTCCTTATTCTTTTTCTATTTATTTACTATAAAAAATTGGGTACTGAATTAAGGATTTAATTACTAAAAAATTTTCATAAAAAATTTTGTTCTAATAAATATTTGAATCATTTTTTTATATAAGTGAAGTTATAAATTTAGTTTAATCTGAAGTTCTATTTATTTCTAAAGCTTGACAAATTGTTAGAGAATGCACCAACACCCTTCACTATGCAACATGCTGCAAGGATCTCTGGTGTTAAGAAAAATTAAACAATGCTAAATACAATTTTGAAGTTCATACAACGTTGAGTAGACAATATTTTGGACCAAAATGATGTGAGCATTACTTTTATTCAACCAATTTTGATGCTTGCATATTTACTATTATTATTATTATTTTTTTACTTGTTCCCCTGGAATCAAGCTAAGTCTTATGTAGTGAAACATGATGGCTAATAGCTTGAGGAAATTATAATTAATATACAAGTTTTGTATAAAGTCATGTTGGTGGATAATATAATATTTTGTTCCTTTTGTTTGTTTTTTTTTTTTTTTTATTCGGAAGGTTTGAGTTTTAGTTTCAATATTGGGTTGATGTGATATTTTGTAAAAGACAAAAATATATTCTTACTAGAGATTGTGGAAATTGTAACTTAAAAAAAAAAAAGGCGATTTGTTACAACCTTTAATTTGATTTGTTCCTCAGCATGTTGGATTTCGGCGAGGGCAAGAAGGTTGATCTTAGAATATGTCCAAGGTTAAAGCTTCAACAACAATGCATTGTGGTGGTGATGGTGGAAAAAAAATCTTTGCCAGAAGGGACAGGCCCCTCGTAAGGATTACCTCATTGATAGCCATCTCCACCTTCCACGTTATTTACCGATTGTAAAGGAGTTCAACTTAGTTAGCTTGGAGATGGGGCAGATGGCATTGTCGACTGCAATGATGTCGTTGGCCAGACATTCTTCTCCATCTTACATGTCTAAGTGCTACAACTAGAAATATTATTCATGTAATGTATAATTTACTGTAGTTTTGATTGGAATGACTGATATTAGGTATTGTGAGTGTTTACAAGTACTAAAACTTTTTGTAAATGAATTTTTTTGACAAACGATGCTGAGAAATTATTGATCATCTAAATTGGTTTGCTGTAATAATATCAAATTATTAAATGATGGTTACATTATATTGATCTAAATGGAATTTTTTTATTTATTTTTTTTAAACAAAATAATTAATCTCTTAACTGTCATTACCACGGAAATTTCTTCTCACACACATATCGGAACTTATTATTGTGGTACAAGTGAAAATATTCGCCATTGATTAGTAACTTCAAAATTAAATATACAACTTGACTAAGATCATACCACATATATATATATATAGATATATTAAGCCACAATTTGTTTTAGACATCATTTATACTAAATAGAAATCATTTTCATCATTCACAATCAACACTTTTTTTTTTTTTGGCCAACACTTTTTCAAAAAAAATTTAAAAAATAATAATAATAATAATAATAATAATAATAATAATAATAATAATAATAATAATAATAATAGGCCAAACCGCTGCTGTGTTAAACAGTTTCTATTGCAATGTTAGTCCTGCCCTTATTGCTATATCTACGTCCTCAGCAGCCAAGGTTGGGAAATCATTTATGCCATCCCCCACCGTGACAACTATGCTTCCAGTTTTCGGAAATGTCTGAATAACATCATCTTTTCTTGCCGGCATTGTTTGTGCTCTAATATCTATAGTTCTAACCTTCGTACATACAAACAGTTGGTTGAGGACAAGTACCAAAAAACCAAAAACACACACACGCAAAGATTAAACCAAGAGACAATACCTACACGAGCCATTATGTAATTACTAACGAAGATAAAACAATTGGTAAAGAGAGCTTCAATAACAAAATGATAGAAACTTAAAAAACAGTCCTTTCTCAAACGAAAAACATTGCACTACCAATAATGAAATGAAACTTCAAATTTATTTATACCAAAACATTTTACGCCTATTGAAGCTACTAATGTAAGGAATTCACCAAGATCCATGCCTGAAAAGACTTTAGTAATAGTAAATATTAATGTTTCTTTTCCCTGTGTCAATGTCCTCGTCCTGTCAAACCCCCGACACCTTAGGTCACCTGCCACACATGGTTCGTCTAGTGTGACTTGTCTGTCGGGCCTAGTTTGCAGGATATTAGGTTCGGCCGGAGGTTTAACCAGTGCGCACTTTCGGGTAGCAACTGCAAGTTCCCATGTTATCAATATATATATACAATATACTTGATGTATTGTACTTTCTCCAATGCCTTACCTTTTTTAATGAGCACACCATTACTAGCCCAACTTTAGTTGCAACCCTGACAATGCTTAAGGTAGTTAATCCAACAACACCCGGGCATGCAATTACAATAATTAATATTGCAAACATAAGAAAAAATACAAAATGATTGCTATTCACTGGCAGTCACACCAATGGGTAGCCTCCAAGAATTTTAGCTAGGTACCTGTAAAATAGTCAAAAATTTGTTAGTAAAAAATGTAAAAGTTACTAAAACAGGTAGTTGTATGTATTCATAATCAATTTTACAAATGATATATAATAACATCACCACTTTTGATGTATCAATATTAAGCATTTCATTCTATTAATGTCAGAAGTCCACACAAGGACAAGAATGCTTGCAACTTAAGATTGAAAACATAACAAACAAAACTATTTTTATGAATTAAATATAATTTTTATTAATATAAAAAATAAAAAAAATATATATTAAAATTTAAATTTGGACCAAACCGATGTACGGCTTTAACTCATATACTACAATTAAAATATTATTAAATATATTTAATATATGTTGTCAGATATCATAATTTGGGTGTGTAGTCCACTGAACCGGAACAGGGGCTTGTGGCCCCAATAATATATATACTCATATATAACATTATTATTATTAATTTTTTTATAAAATATATATAATAATTTTTTAAATAAATTAATTATTTTGTATTTATTTTTAAAATAAATGATTTTGATATTAATTTATTTATTTAAAATTAGTTAAGTAAAATTGTGAAAACATAATAGTAAATAATATTTTGTGAGTTGCTTTGTAGACTTGAAAAAAGCAATACCCCAATCAATTTCTATATCTGAATTCGACTGTATTAATGAAATCAAGTTAGATTTAATTTTTTAACTTTATTTTATACATCTCAATATTTTAACACGATAAATTTTGAAATTAAAATTTAATTCCTGATAAGTTCTTATACACCTGCCATAACTCAACCTCAAAATCTGTCAAAAAAATGAATTGTGGTTTGGATCACCCATCAACCTACTTGAATAGCTTTAATCTTAAAGTAATTATGTAGAACAGTAGAAAAATTAGTTTATCTACCTTTGGTAAGATTAAAAATTATACAACTTATGCCTTATAAGGGATGAACTGGTGATGTAATAATGGATTCGTGACCGTAAGGTCATGGATTCAAAATTCCGACGCCTCCGAATCTTACGACAACGTATAGTTCGCCTAGTGAGCGCACTCGAAGAATAGTGATGCAAATTCCCACATTATCAAAAAAAATTATACAACTTATGATCTGTAAGGGATGTCGGTATTTGGGGTGAACTCTAACGATGAAGTTATGGATTCAAACTCCTTGTGTCTGGCACATATAATTCGATAGTATGACCTGCGCACTCGAAGATTATATAACTTAAGCTCCATAAAACGTGGTGGGCGAACCAATAACCATAACGTTATGTGCAATTGATTACCAGTGAACTGATTAGTGATTACAACAACTTGACACACCAAAATATATATCGAAAGAATGAGACAGACAGAGTAAACCTGCAAGAAACTGATTGCACTAAGAACAATCAATCCGGTAAGGGCCTTAAAGATGCATGTCTCGCTGCAGAGACTTGTGCAGCTGCCCACAATCCTCTCTTGTAATACATTCATTCGTAAAAATCGGCATAGACAAGCTTGGTTTGCACCATTACGGCTGTGATGGCATGGGCGACGATGGAGGCTTGTAGTCCGGATACTGTGGTGCATAAAAAAAAAAAAGCAAACAAACTGTTAGTGTCACTGTCTCATCACTTCTGCTCATAGACACCAATGATTGGGTCTCAGTAACCATCCTGATAGGATCAACATTGTCAATGCTATGGATGTGCCAAGTATTATAGTTCAGTTTAATCTAATGATATCAGAGAATTAGTTAAGGAAGACTAACATTGGGATAAGGTGAAAGTGAGGTTGGATGTCTTGGAAGAGATTCTTCTTGGATTTCAGCATTGGGGATAGAATTCACTTCTGTAATTGTCTCCGGTTTGGACTCAGATTTCTCGACAGGTGGAGCAAGGCTTGGTTCTGTGGAGGCAGGTAGGGCGGGGGCGGCCTTGCTGATGGTCACAGGTGGTAGAAGTGCCTTTCCGATTTCCTGTCAATGTGGCGAATTTGAACCAGACTCTTTTGATGAAAAGAGAGTTCAGAGGGTAACTCAAATTTACCTGAATATCGCTGGTAAGCTCTTTAGGAGCAACTTTTGTGTTCAAAAGCTCTTCAATTTGTTGGATAGTTTGCTTTCGATCCTGTAAAGGAAAATGGCGAATGTAAGTACAAGTGTCCGGTGAATGTAAAACTTCAGCTAGAAAAATGTATGCCGGAAGAAGAACGACGAACCTCTGCAAATAGTAGTTTCTTGCTTACAAACTGAACAACGGCAGCCGTACCTAAAACTTGGAGAACTGTTTCTACCTGAAGAAACATAAAAATGTAAAAGGATTAGCTAAGTAATAATCAATAAAAGGTCGATTCTTTGGCAATATCCTAACCTCTGTGAAAGCCAATAGCCCTAATCCGGCGGCTGCTGCTGCAATACCAAGAGTCAAAGGTGCAGCATCGGATGCCTCCTGCAAAAGAACCAACACATTCAACAATGGGGAAATGCTAGTGATGAAATAAACTATTTTCACTTTTATCCGACATTTTTTTCTACTCAGATTCACCGGGAAGATGAAGTTGTTACACTAATTCGATTCCATTATTCAGATATTACATAAAGTAGTAATGTAGCACAATCTATAGCTGTGTTTTGGAAATAGAAGCATTGTAATAGAAAATACGTGATGTTTTAGGGGAAATTTATTTTACGATGAATGGTGAAATATTGTTGAAGACACATGTAAACAGAACATAAATTATTTACCGCCAAAGCATCTGTCAAACCACCAAAGTTGATCAATGCCTTGCTTGGAAGTAACCAGGGAAGGCCACTGTTCTGCGTAATTTCCATTTGTTTGCAAGTTTAAAACTAGCATCTTAAGCCCTGTATACAAACGAATTATTTTCAATCAATGAAAAGGGAATAAAAGGTCGAGAAAACCTTCCATCCGCTGGGGCCTTCTGCACCGTCTCTGATGGCAAAAGCAGCTTTGAAGCCATTTGCTGTCACCAGCTCCGCAACGAGTTCAGAATTTCCACTAAATCTGGCTTCATCATAATGCAGGAATATATAAGCTTGGAAGCAATGGGATGTTTACAAGAAACATTTTACTTGGACAAGCAGCACCAACTAAGACATTCCATGGCTTGCGGCGTCACAACCAAGATTCTAAGCCCTCTAACTAATCGATGTGCATTCAATCACCATCTTGACAGGGAAATGCAGATTCAAGGTACATAATTCCAAATAGCACATTCATAATTTTTGCAATCTTAAAGCAATCAACAGCACCTAGTCGTCGCAGCATCTTAAAAACTTGCAGCATTCTATACTTCAAGAAGTGAGCCACCAAGAATATGATCTCATAGTCCAAGATTTCAAGAATTACGTGGTCAACATATGCTAATTTCTATGAATTAATTATATCCAATTCATTCCAACCATATGAACACTATGATCGAAAACTGTAGATGTAGAAATTGCAAAGACACCAAGTAGCTCTAGCTTTGAATCAATATGCTCAATGCAGTGGAAAAGTAAACATTCAAGTAATCAGAAACGATAACGAAGCTCAACAATTATATACTCAGAGAGTTTCGAAATGTTTTACTTGTCCAGAATGAACAATGTGGTTTCATTTGGTTCCTTAAACTTCACAGACAACTTCTTCAAGAACCCTGGCTTGTTGTCCCCTTTGTACACAATTGCTACTGGCTTCTTCTTCAGGCCTTTGAGATCTGGACTTCCCTCCTGCCTTATATCCGCTGCCAATCTTATATCCAGCAATTGAGCATTAGGATCCTCACTCAATTTCGCATAAGCATTCTTCGCACTCACCGCTCCCCATGGCCTCGACTGGCCGATCAGCTGAGCAATTACCACCGGCAACACCACGGCCGCCGCTCCGCCACCGACAATCAGCGGATTTTCGTTCGTAAAGTTGACTACACTGTCGATGATCCCGTTGATGTCAAAATCTAGCGTTACGCCACTGCTCCCTGATTGATCTAGGGCTTCGTCGTAGGTGAGTGCTTTCACCGATTCGGAGCTCAGAATTGAAGACAAAAACAGCAGGCCATGATTCAGTCTTCTGGAACATAAATCCCTAGCAGAAGCGCCGAAAATTCGAGAGGTATGGTGCCTGAATAGAGAAACGGCGGGTGGTGAGAGTTTCTTGGGCGGCAGTGGTGGTTTGGATAGAAGTGAAAGCGGGCTCAATGCAAGTGCAACTGCAACTGCATTAGAGGCCTCCATGGGTGGTGAAGAATTTCAATTGCAGAAGCTCCGAACAACCATGAGAATTGAAGAGGCAGATATCTGTAGTGTAGTGTAGTGTAGTCTGGTATAGTCTAGCTGCTCCTCATGACTATCATGTCACCAGTGGATGCGCGACACGGTGTGGAGGATGGGTGATGTTGACGACAGAGGTGAGGTTTGTTGAGGAAAGGATTGTGTGGCTGTGGAGCAGATGATGAGTTGATCAAAAAGTTTCTACTCCTACACTAGTTATTAGTCCTCACTACTTGTTCTCATGCCATGCCATGCTATGTCTATTATTTTTATTTCAATTGATTTTTTCATTTTAATAATTCTAATCATATTTTAAATTTTATAATTTATAATATTTTAATTTTAATTTATAATTAATTTTATTATACATTAATTATTTTTAATATACTTTTTAATTATATCTTATTTTAATTTTTGTATTAACAATAAACTGATCACAAAAAATGAAACAAAAAAGAGTATTATTCAAATACAATTGTACAATAAAAGGACCATTTTTCGTTTGTTTTATTACTTCGTCGATTCCAAAAAAGAGTATCATTGCTCTTCCTTATATATTTCGTCCGTCCTATAAAAAAGTATCTATATTTTTATTTTAATTCATCTCATAACAAAATATTTATTTTTTTTTAATAACTGTACTATCTATTAACATTACAAATACTCTTACAACTTACAATATATTACACAAATGTCGTTACATTTATATCACACATACTAATAAGGTTATTTTAGTCATTTCTATTTTATTCATAGTATATCTCAATATAATATTAATATTTCTAAAATTACGTGAAAAAAACAAATGAATATTTCTTTATGAGAAGGGAGTATAATTTATATGTAATAATTAATAATAGTAAATGTTTTAATTTTACAAAAATAAAATTATAATTTAGTGAATAAAATATATTAAAATAATTAATAAATTCTGCAGTAAAAATACATTTACATATATGAATAAATAATAAATTTTTAAAGGTATATAAAGAATAAATAAATTAAACTGAGAAAGCTTTTCTAAAATATTGGGTAGATTAGTTTTTTAGAAATTTTTTGGTCCAAAAACTTCTATCAAAAAACTAATTTATTAAATACGTAAACCCCGGCCTGCAAACCACGGAAGTCAGACCTGTCGGAATTATAGACTGGTCCCGCACTTACGCGTACCATATTAAGACCAAGCACGCTAATACTAGAGTTTCTTCAGTATGGGTCCCGAAAAAGAATATGTACATTATTGACATGAGTAATCTATTCAATCTATTTAACCACTATTCAATCTCGGATGACCTGACACCGGCTTATCCATGAGAGTTGATCTAACACAACACCGGACCAACTCCAGAGGTATTATACTTTTTGACTAATCAAATAGCTAAAAACTATTTAATAAGTTAAAAAGTTATTCAAAATACTCTTTTCCAAACACCTCCAAAACTTTTCTATATTATTTTAAGGTAAATTGGTAAACAACGGTTCATGAAGATACAAACATAACACTCAAATATAAATATCCAAATATATATTAATTTATTTGTAATATATTTTTTAAAAAAACAATTCAAAATACAAGAATATTCAGTCTGTTCACTTAGTATGTTTAGATAAATTAATTTTTCTTATGTAGTATGGGAATTGTAATGATAATATAAAAAATAATATTTTATATTGAATGATTGACTTTTTATGAGTTAATGATATATATTATATTAATGTGTTTACATTTCTATTTTCTTAATAATATTTATGATGAATTATTTTATTAAAAAATGTTAAGTGAACATACTGATTATATTTATTTTATTATCTTCGAAATAATTTAGATCCGACCCAAAAGAGAGGCAACCCAGGACTAATCCAGACCGGAGGCCCACCGAAAGGCCCAATAGCCTAACATTAGGCACAAACAATACAATCCATTTGGGAGAAGTAGTTCATAAAATACAATACCCGATAATTCAATTTTCTCTTTCTTTTAATCTTGCGTGCTTTTATTGTTTCCTTGATTTGATTTATGTCTTTTTTTTTTTTTTTTTTTAATTATTTGTTCAATTCAGTTCATTTTCTTCCCATTTCTGAGTATTTTATATTGGAAAATAGTTTAGCGAAATTTGAAATGCGGCGAAATTCGAAAATAAAAAATCATATAGATGCGAAATTAAATTCAAGTTTCACATATTACGCGATTTTCTTGAAGCGAATTCGGCTCTCCACTAATGGCCTCCAGGATAAAACGAATTGTGAACGGAATAACAGATTTCGCAAACCGAATTATAATATAAAAGAAATTTTCAACATGAATTTTTAGAATTCATATTCCGTCTTCCATCTAAAAAAATGGAGAAAAATATAATATATATGTATATATGTATTTTTTTTTCAACTTATTTTCTATTTAATAGAGAAAAAAATGTACATGTTCTATTCAGTTATTTATTTATTTTTTTTAAAATAAAATAAATTAATCAAATAAAATTTGGCATAATTTATTCTTCTTTTACTTATTTAATTAAATACCCATCAAAGAAAGATGAATTTTGTACACTACAAGAAATTATCAATTTTGTAAGGAGATTTTTTCGTCCCTAAATTCACTTTTTCCGTTACTAATGATATTAGAGACGGAATTAGAGATGGAATTACGTTAGCTACGTGAACTTTAGGAACGGAATTCCGTTACAAATATACTATTTTTTTTGTAGTGGTATAGGATAAGTAAATTTCTTTTGAACTTTCCCTTGAAAAGTACGTAGTCTTTACTAATTGTCCAGTAGATACGTTGTTCTTGAACTGTTCAATTTTTAAGTGGGCTACATATCGACACAGAATTCATGTGTCTAATTCGGTTCTCATTGTTTGGCCCGTTTTGGCTATAAAATCCGTCCTGGTTTTGCGAGAGTTTCTAAAGAAGTGAGCTTGGACAATTCTCATTTGAAGGGGTCTCACTTCTCTCTCACATAAATGATCTTTCTAAATTTTCGAGTAATACAATACTCAATTATTTGCTATCCTCTTTACTCTGTCACTATTCGTTAACATGAATGGGTTGGGTTGAGGCTTTTATCCTCACATAGGGATGGGAATAGATCAGGCGTCTGTCAGGGGCCTACGTAAGGCTTAACCTGGTCAGATCTATTTACTAAAAGGCTATGTCAAAAAAGATTTTAAAGTTTTTTTATTTAAATAGAACGGGCTTAGCCTTAAAAAATAAAAAATAAAAAAAAATAAAATAAAATAAAACTTTTTTTATTAACAGGTCGACCTATTTATTATTATTATTATTATTTTATAAAAATATTTTTTATTATTATATATTAAAAATAATTTTCTATCTAATAATGATATTTATTAAATAATTTTAATTATAAATTTATTATAAAAAATAGATTTTTTTAATTTATATATATTAAATAATTGTATTTACTTTATTTTTAAAAATTTCTAGCTAAAGTTACAAATAAATAAATAAAAGTATTATGTGGTCTTTTAAATAGGCTTGGAGGCCGGACCAAACTTTTAAAAAGGCTGAGGCTTTTAAAAAATAATTTTCAGGCTAACAAGTCAGGCTTAGGCCAGATATTTTTAGAACATAGTAGACCTATTTAGCCAAAGTCTGGCATGACCTATTTCCACCCCTACTCCAACAGGGACGCACATAAGTTTTATAGGTATGTTGTCCTATTGAACCTAGTTCTTGGGATCTCCAATCTTTCTAGGTTGAGTTTTCCTTTATAAAATGTTTTCTTCAGTAGGCTTGAGCCCTATTCCTCTAGTCAGTTTGTAAACTGTATCACGGTTTAGCCATTTGGTTAGCGTATCCACTAGGTTATTCTTTTGACGCAACATGGTATATTGCAATAACCTTAGTTGTGATCAGTTGTGTTATGGAATTGTGTCGATTACATTGGCCTTGCTACCGAGCATCAGATGTCTCATGCTTGTCAGGTTCGATCTATGCTCCTCTTCAGTTTGGAGACGATTGATCAATCTTGTCATGTTCATTTTCATTTTGTTTGTATTTCAAATAAATCTTGAAATCACCTCGACTAGGTGACTTTTTTTTTTTTTGAAGCAACAGGTTGCCTGAAAGTTGAAGCAACATGCTGCATTACATGGTCCGCAACAGCACAGACTCCAGACCCTCCAAGTTATTTGGAAGTCCGTTTCACACGGGTATCAACAGGATCCTGTTATTATTATTATTATTTTATTTTTTCCATCCAACAACAGACTAGTTGGAGGTCGTTGCGCTCCTTCCATCGTGGCCTTGAAGACCTTGTTCATACGTTGCTGGCAGCCTTTTCGGCAGCAGCCCTCTAGGCTGCCTCACCGTTTGGACGAGGTGGTTAAGGTAATGGAATATAGAGAACAAGAGTGTGAAACTCGTTGGAATTAACCTCCTCATTCTCCTCCGCATCTGCGCCAATCTGAATATCTTCATTATCCAAGAGAAGGCCAAGATATAGGGCGAGATCATATTCAACCTGTAACGTGAACTCTGTGAGCAGACCAGCCGTGGGTACCACAGTGGAGGGTTCCCCATCCTTGCAGACGTCCAGGAAGTTCCTCAGTATGAAACGCCGATCCTCTGCCATGTCTGGACACCACCGAATTTCTTCCACGCCAACTCAGATTTCACACGGATTCGTTTCAAGATTGTTGGAAAATAGTTTAGCGAAATTTGAGATGCGGCGAAATCCGAAAATAAAAAATCACATAGATGCGAAATCAAATTCGAGTCTCACGTAGCACGCAATTTCCGTGAAGCGATTTCGGTCTTCCACCGATCGCCTCCCAAGATAGAACGAATTATGAACGGAATAACAGATTCTGCAAACAGAATTAGAATAGAAGAGAAATTTTCAGAATAAAATTTTGGAATTGATATTCCGTCTTCCATTCGAAAAAAGGGGAGGAAAATATAATATATATATATTATATTTTTTCAACTTATTTTGAATTTAATCACGTGTAGAGAAAAAAATTGTCCATTTTCTACTAGCACACGTTGCAACAAACTATTTATTTGATTATTTATTTATTTATTTTTCAAATAAAATAAATTAATCGAATAAAATATGGGACAGATAATTTATTCTTCTTTCACCTATTTAATTAAATACCCAATATTTTATTATTTCCTTGTTGACCTTTGTTGCTAAATTCATGTTAACTTT